GACTTGTCTGGGGCGTGGACCCGCCCCCTCCGCGTACGGTTGTGTTCACGCACGGGATGTCAACGGTTGGCTTTTCTTCCTCCCCAAACAATGTTTGCATTTGGGGTTTCAAGCGAACTGTGGCTGACTGGCGGTCTGGCGGCTCCGTGGTCGGTGTCACCGCCCCGTCACCGCCCGTCGTCTGGGCCTGGCTGGCGGTTTGGCGGCTGTGTGGTCGCCGTCGCCCCCCTGTTGCCGCCTCGTCGCCGCCCATCGTCTGGGCCTGGCTGGCGGTCTGGCGGCTGTGTGGTCGCCGTCGCCCCCCCGTCGCCGCCTCGTCGCCGCCCATCGTCTGGGCCTGGCTGGCGGTCTGGAGGCTGTGGTCGCAATCGCCGCCCCGTCGCCGCCTAGATTTCACGACGTATATTCTCCTTTCGAATATATGTATGTATGTATGTATGTATGTATGTATGCATGCATGCATGCATGTATGTATGTATGTATGTATGTATGTATGTGTGTATGTACGTATGTATGTATGTATGTATGTATGTATGTGTGTATATATATATATATATAAATAATATATACATACATAGAGATAAACTCCCCCCAGACTTAATGGTACCCCTTCGCGCATCGCGTTTTCATAGTTTACCCTGCACAGTCGTCCATTTCAGAAATCAATTCAATTCGTAGTATTCCATTTAAGCTGTTACCACCCCCATCATCCTTTTGGAAAACATGCTCTGCGCGCGCGCTCGTTGATAATACCTCATCAGTTTTCATGAACCTTTTGTAACAAATCAAACGGCGTGCGCACGCGCGCGCGCGCCGTCGCGCGTGCATGCCGAAATCGTTAAAACAATTTTCGCCCTCGAGCGGATTTCAAAACCGGTTGCCCCGAAAACATATAACAACACATGTTATCGCACCATGCGTGTTCAAAAAAACCCGCGCCCGCGCTATTGCGAATTATGCGTCTCAAAATGTTCATAAGATGGTACCAAACGGGTATCTCGCGCGCGCATGTCGAAACCGTTCGAACGTTTCTGCGCGCGTGCTGTCGCACAATCCGTTTGCAAACAACGGGGCAAAGTGCACGCGCGCGCGTCGTCGCGCGCGCACGCCGAAACCCATAGCAACAACCCTCGGTTTCGCCAGGATTTCAAAACCAAGCGCCCCGAACACAAATGACAACACATGGTTTTTCAACACCAGTTTTCCCAAAAAGTCTGCGCTCGCGCTTTTGTGAATTCTTGAGGCAACCATGTGTTTGCAACGTCTTCATGAAAAAACTCCGAAGCGGTCTCTCGCGCCGCATGTCGAAATACTTCCAACGCCGTTGCGCGCGTGCTGGAGGGAGGGGGGGGGGACACTATCCGTGTAACAAATAACATGTGGACCACTTTCGCGCGTCGGCCGCGCGCGCATGCCGGACCCCTGCCACAAACTTCATCACCGACGCGGGGGCGCCGTCATCGTCGTCGGCATGATCAGCATCGGCGCCGTCGCGGTCGCACCGTCGTCTTTGTCATCATCGTCATTAACATCGCTACTATCATCATCGTGTCTACCGTTGTCGACGTTGCCATGGTAACACGCCCGCCCAAGTCGCAGACTCGCACTTAAGTGCCCGCTGGGATGTGCCCAGCGGTCATAGCCACCGCGGCCGCGACGATCGCGCCAAACCAGCTGGCCGCTGCGCGCGCGAGCATGCGCGGGCTCGCGTGGCCGCAGAGATGCACCAGCCAAAGCCGAACACTCATCGCAATAGCCGCCGCATGGGTTTTGCAAGCCAAATTGCGGGTGGGTCGGTGGGGTGATTGCGCGGGCAGTGGACTTGACAACACACTGCGAACATATATTCGTTGCGCCCCGTATGCCCTCCTTTCTCAAGACGAGTAGCAACGCCATCCCCCTGTTTTTCCTGTCGCCCCCTCAACCTCTAGGGCGCTGCAAATTGCAAATCGTTCTACCGCATCTTCCGCTATGCGCGGCTTGCGAACATCCCAGGAGGCCCCCCTTTACCGCGCCCCCCCCCCGTCCCCCCATTCCTGTCACATGACCCTAGGCGCGCGAGCGCGCCCCCCCCCGTCCCCCCATTCCTGTCAAATCACACTAATCGCCGCCGCATGGGTTTTGCAAACGAAGTTGCGTGCGGGTGGGTGAGATGATTGCGGGAGCAGTGGAATTGTCAACGCAAATTCTTCAACACTAACTGCACCACATAATCAGCTACACGTCTATTGCACATCGTAGATTGCTAGACACGCACACGCGCACTGTTTGGAGTCCACGCTGGTTAACGCGTTTTCTCAGTTCACTTGTTTATCTTAAATGAAGCTCCCGCGGGTCCCACAAGTCTCGCAAGTTTCCCAGACCCCACAGGCCCCACGGGTCCCACAGAACCCACTGGTGTCGCAGGTCGTCCCGCAAACACAATCTGTCTGACAGGTTCCACGGGTCCTGCAGGTGTCGTAGGTTCCACAGGTCCCACAGGTGCCACGACTGTCCCTGGGGTCTCTCAGGTCCCACAGGCCCCGCTGGTCCCAGTCCCACTTGACTCGAAGGGCACGGAGGACCCACAGTTCCCACGCGCCCCACAAACGTCGCAGGTTTCACAAGCCCCAGAAGCCACAGAGGACCCCCAACTCGCACAGGTCCCACAAGCCCCGCTGGTCTTACCTGCCCCACAGGTCACCTTTGCTGCTATTCGGGTGGTCTGCGGGGGTAGTGGAACTCCAGGTCGGCTATGACACACGTCCGCGGGTAGCGACAAATCACCGCAATGGGAAGGGATGGGAGGGAGGGATCGGATGTCAGATGTGGTGCGAGCGCACCTAGCTTGCCTCTCTCGTCTCTCCTGTCCTCCTCCCCCCGTGGGCCACCACTGTTCCATACACGTATACACACATATATACATATATATACATATATATATATGTATGTATGTATGTATGTATGTATGTATGTATGTATGTATGTATGTGTGTGTGTATATATATATGTATATGTATATATATACACACAAGACGGCATTGGCGCTTCGCGCCATGCGCTTTATTCCAGACCCTCCCTGGCAAAGCAATAAATCATCGCTTGCTTCAGCGGGGGGACCTCGAAGCCTGGACGGGCGACCGGCTCATTTTTCTGATATCCTTGGTGCCTGTTGACACCGCGTTCGCCCGATGCGCTTGCAGGCTTGTGCGCAGGAGTGGGGAAACAATGCTGTTTTTTTCACGCGCGAAGGTCCTCTGAGGAAGTAAAGAGCGTTCCCATGACACGCCGAAGAAATCGCAGTAGCTCCGAACAAATCAATTTTTGGTAGCTTCCTGAATGCCTGGGGGGCTCCAGGCACTCAGGAAATCTTCGGTCGTCGATCTTCGAATCTAGATCCATTGCCCCTCTCTCTCGATCGAGGAACTTAAACCTCGAGCTTCAAGCGTGGCACCAAGATCGTCGGGTCGGCTCGATGTACTTCGTAGGAAAACGCCGTCTGGGCGTTTTTGGGGCTCTTTTGGGCCGTCCTGGGGAGCTGGGGCCCTCCAGAGGCCTTCTGAAGCCATCTAATGGCCTTCTTGGGGGTCTCCCATGGCTTTCGTGGGTCTCTCTTGGGAGCCTTCTGGGGGCATCTTGGGCTTCTTGCGGGCAGTCTCGGGGCTCTCTGGGGCAGTCTTGGGGCCCTCTTGGGCCGTCTTAACACCTCTGGGGGGCCTCTTGGGCCTTCTTGGGCGATATCGGGGGCCCATCGGGCCGTCTTGGACGCTGCGAAATCCCAATCACCGGATATGTTAAGCTTATACGTTGGGGCGTCTTGGGGGCCTCTTGGGCCGTCTTCAGACCATCGAGGTTCCTATTGGAGCGCTCATTTGCTGTCTTGGGTCTCTCTTGCGCCTCTCCGATTCTGATCGCCTTGAGTCTGCTCGCAAGGCCCGGCAGAACGCCCTGGGGGGCTCGGAAGGGCCAGCGGACCTTTTCCAAGGGTGTCCAGGGGGCCGCTGAGACGTCCGAAAAGGTGTCCAGGGCGTCCCTGGGGGGGGTCTGGTTTAGGGGGTGGGTGGGGGGGATTTCCGGGTCATAAAAATATAAGAGTAGGAATCCACACACACACACACATATATATATATATATATGTATATATACACACAAAAGTAAGGAAAGGCTCTGGGCCAAAGCGGCCTGACGTTCCAGGCTGGGCAGCCAGGGGGGGGTTCTGGTCGAGGCGGGCCAGGGGAGGGGGCTTTGGTCAAGGCGGGCCAGGGGAGGGGGCCAGGGGGGGGAGGGGGGGCTGGCGACGAACGGCCCTGGAGAGCAGGGGCCGACGCCCTAGGGCCAGGGGGCCAGGGGGACGTGGCTGTGGGCAAGCAGGGGGCTCTGGCCAAGCAGCCAGGGCGGCGCGACGTTAGACGACGAGCGAGCGATCACGACCACGAACAAGATGGTCCGAGCTCCAGAGTACAGCTGCGCAAGAGAATTGCAGTGTGGTGTCTGGATCATTTGCCGGTGTCCTGGGGGCCTGCGCGGCCCCATGATACTCGTTGTGTAATGTATATGTATGTATAGGTATATGTAAACAAGGAGGATCGAACACCAACTGCCTCTTAAGATGAAAACGAAACTGGCGCACCAAATGAGGCTAGGCTAAGACAACATAGGCAACGCTTGGCCAATGTTAACCATACCAAGACGGTTCAGCCAAGCATAGTTCCGCAGGTCCCTCATTATGCTTCAGGCCTGAGCAAGGCGCTACAGCAATAGCTGACGATGCATAGCAGGCTGCAACTTTCAGCTAACTCTGACGATGGATATACTGCACACCCTGAGGACGATTACAAGCTGCGCTGGGCCAAGCCCAACCAGGCAGAGCTGATCGAAGGTGGGCTTAAGCTGCGCAGTCAGGAAGCCACGCGGAGCTACAGGAAAGGGTGACCGGCGGGCATGTCGTCTAGACCGAACCGCACATCAAGACGTGAAGTCAATGACGAGGCCCTGCCCCCCGCCCCCCCAGCGCAGGGGTCCTTGCAGCCGCCGATCTTGTCGTACGCACCCATCAGCGAGACGTAGGCCTCACGGAGCCCGAGGCCGAAGATGGCGTCGTACTTGAACCTGGGGGTCTGGGCGGCGGCCCCCCTCCCGTCCCCGTGTCGGCGGGCCACCTGCGAGTTTGCGGCTTTCAATCCTCTGGGAAGCTTTCGACAGCGAGAGAGAGAGAGAGAGAAAACAAAAGCATAGGAGCCCCTTATCCTTCCCGAGGGGGCTTGATCAGACGTGGTGTGACCTCCGATGCCGCCAGCGTGCTGTCCCGCCCCTGGCCACGTGGGCGTCGTGAGCTAATCCATGGACCCTCATCCTCGCCCACAGAGAGAGAGAGAGAGAGAGAAAAAACAAGAGAACGAGAGAGAGAGAGAGAGAGAGGAAGAGAGAGAGAGAGAGAGAGAGATAGAGAGGGAAAGAGACAAACAGAGAAATAGAAAGAGAGCCACTGGGCCCGCACCCCTCGCCATCGCTCGGACGTCCATTCCCTGTGCATCTTTCGATCTCGTGCGTTCATCTTCTTGCAAGATGACCCAGGATGCTCCTCGATGGTCCCCGCCGAGAAAAAATGCACACGGCCGAGCGATTCCGAGACCAAAGGCCACTCCTGCGAAGGGTGACTCTGACGCCTAGTCGACCTTCCGCCTCCTCCTCCTGGACGCCGCCGTCGAGAGACCTTGGGAGAGGCGAGGCTGTCGGAGCGCTCGGGCTCTGTCGTTTTGGCGCCCTCGCTGGCCTCCGCAGCCCCCAAGGCGCCCATGCGGACTCCCCTGGGGGCAAGGCCGTGCACAGCGAAAGCAAAGCCGAAGACCGACCGAACCGACAGGGAAACCGAACCGGCAGGGAAACCGAAACTGACCAAAATCGACAAGCCGAAAGCGGCCTGGCAGGGCGCAACGGCGCGGCAACGACACAACGGCCAACCGAACCGAACCGGCCGAACGCCACCCACTGCGACGCCACTGGACCGAACCTACCGAACCGCGGACACCCGCCGCGGCAGCGCAGACACCCACCGCGCGGCAAGTGCGCAAGGTGAGGTGCAAGTCGAGAGCCGGCCCCCGGGCGCCCCCGGAGAGCGCTGGCCTCCAGGGACGCTTGGGTTCGGGCTCCGGGGCCTCCTGGGCGCCTCGTCGTCCGCGCTGCTCTGCCCCTGTGCGGCAGGCCCAGCCTCGATGCCCCGGACAGCCGAGCCACGCAACAGGGCCGGCCAGGGCCAGCAGAACCAAACCTTGCCATCGCTCGGAGGTCCACGTCCCGTGCGCTTCTCGGTGTCGTGCGTTGTGTTTTCCCCCCGTGAGATGATCCGAGATGTTCCTCGCCGAGAGAACGTGCACACGTGCGAGCGACGCCAACAAACATGCCTCGTCCCTAAGGGACGCACGGTCATCTTCGCGCTCTGGACTTGCGCAAAATCAAGCCGGACCGAAAACTGATCGGATCGCCAACGAATCGCACCGAATCAAATCGAAAGTGGATCGCCACGCCCAACTCTGGCTGGCCCCGACCGATGCTGGCGACTCGGGCCGAATCGAATCGGAATCCTGGCCCCAGCAAGTGAATCGAACCGCATCGGCCCTGCCAGGCAGCGAAACGCGAAGTTCGTTCATCTTCGCGCGCCCCGCGTGTGACTCGGTCCACCCTGGCTTCCCATTCTCCTCCTGATATCTTCTTGACAGGCGCACCACATCCGTGAGAGCCAAATCCGTCCGTTTTTCTGCGGTCAGAAACTAATACTTAGCGTGTCGCGGCAGCCGGCACCTGCGACACGCTGTGCCCTGCAAGTGGATGGCGTGTCGCTCCGCTCCGCGAAACTTGGAAGAACTCGGGACGCTGATTGCGATATGGTTACCGTGTCCCGCCAGAGCGCGGTGGGCTATGACCAGCTGGGCAACACCCTAAGCAAAAGTTCTCGAGCGTATTTCTCTCTCTCTCTCTTTCCCCCTACTTCCCTCCATCAATCCTCCCCTCCCTCCCTCCGCCCTGCTTCACCCTCTTGGCTCCTCCTTCATTCCACGAACACCCCCCACCAGCACCCTCGTCTTCGAGCTGGCTGGGCTGCCCTGGCGGCATCACGTGGCTGGCACCGATCTTCGATTCGACCGCCACGGATGCAAACGGAACAGTGGGCGCCGTCATCCTGGGGCACAGCCATCCACTGCTAGGGGTAACACGCCGTGCCGCAAGGAAACCATGGGGATCTTGTTGAGACGACAGTCGTCTCCTGACGTGCTCCTAGATGTACGAATGGAGAAAGCCCCATGGGGGCCCCGTTGCCACTGCGGGGGTGGTTGTTGGTGGGCGAAGGAGGCGGCAATCCTTGGTTCTCGACATGGGCTACATTTGCGGGGGCGGGAAGGCGACCTTGCCCACAAGGAGCGGCCACCCCAGTGCATACGGAGCTTCCTCTCCTCCCTTCGGCCCAACATTTTCTTCTGCTAATGTAGCCTTCTTATGTCACCGCTCCTTCCATTTCTCGAACAGAGGTCCTTGAGATGGGTGGGCAACAACTTTCACTATTTCCAAACACATTCTTACGAACTCGGATCCTTGACTCAATGTCGGATGGATCCGAATTCGAAACAACCATAGACGAACCTGCGACGTCATGACCGTCAACAACTCAACGTTCCGTTGACGGCCGAGGCGGAACACATACTCCGTGCAAATGCAATATCTTCCAATACGGACCACCGATGTCCAAACGCGAAGCAAGGAAAAAACTGCTAATGGCAACGCCGATCAAGTCGGGTCGAGCCTGACTGGGTCTGTTCAACCTGGAGGGCACTGCCATTCCTGGACAGCTCCATCAAGTTCTCTTATTGGGATTTGGGCTCCCTGTCCTTCCCACAACGATCATTTCTGACTGTCGTAGCATTCCTGCCTCCCACAAAAAGGCATGCTCTCCTGGAGTCGACGGCCGCCAAATGGACCTGCTTCATGAGGTCCATCACAAACGGGCGGTACCTCGGCGCGTCGCGAAACGTTTCCTTTGTCAGACTCAAATGAGCCGCGAAAGCAAACGGGTCTTACACGAGAAGCCATAGCGACTTTACGCTGCAGCTTACGCGGGCCGCCAGCGTGGCACACAACGTGGGACATACGGCGCTTACGAACGGCCTTACGCTGGATTATCGGCGCAATCGATACCGGTTTCTTCCGTCCCTCGGGTGCAAGAATGGGTGATAAAGGGTGCAACGACAACACGAAACTTCAGAGGTTGCTGATACATTTGAATCTTTTATATGTGATAAGCGGGCGGTAGCGGCAAAACTGCATGACAACTTGACGGATCAACCCATCCTTGTGTCCAATCGCAACCGTGAACTGGACACGGGCCACCCAAGGCCGAACATAGAGCCCCAGCCGTGAGAAGCGTCGTCGCGCTCAGGCATCATGCCGAATACCCTCGCCGATTGTTGTATGCTCCTCCAAAATGCCGATCGCGCGCGCACGTGCTGACTTGGAGTTCGTTCGAAGGCTTTCGCTCTGCAGGCGAGTGCGCGGCGATGCGCAGGAAGGTCGCCCGAATGGACGAGGCCGCGGAAAGACCCAATGCAGGAGAGGGCGTCGCTCGAAGAGCCGCCGTCGGCCTCAAGGAATAAAGTCAAAATTAATAGCATGGATGCGCGATAAGGATGCAAGGGCCTTGGACGCCCATGCCGAAGCTTTTCGAGCGGGGCTGGCCATCGAAAATGGTTGAGGATGGACCGACGATTACCGAAGATTCAAGGATGCAAGGGTACCCGTGGGAAGGCGATCATCCTTCGAACATGCTCACCGCTTGTCCCGAACACGGGGCCGTCCGAACACACCTTGGACAAGTGCAGGGACAACGCGCGCATGCGGGGAGCTCATCCGCACGTTTCGCAAGCCACTGTTGCCTTCTCCCCCTCTCTTCTCCCTCCTCCCGTTCAGCTGCTTCTTGTCCTCCCCCCTTTCCCCCCCTTTCCTCTTAGTCCTCCTCGCCTATCCACTTTCCCCTTTATCCTTCCTCTTCTCCCTCTTCCTTTCTTTGCCCTGTTCCTATTCCTTGTCTTCCTGCTCCTCCCAACTGCCCTTCCCTTCCTCCCTCCGTTCTCCTCATCCCCCTCCTCCTGCGCAATGGTCGCCTCGAGAAAGTTGTAAGGATTCTCAGGGTAGAAGGGGCGGCGTTTCCAAAATGGAGCTCCTCACGCCTTAGCGCGGCGCACATCCGTTACAGGGATGTAGGGCGGCTTCTTTTCGAAAAAAGGGCTCACGCGCACAGCGTCACGCACGTTCGTCTGAAAAGCGTTTTTCAAATGGAGCTCTCGCCTTAGCGCCGCGCACATCCGTTACAGGGGTGAAGGGCGGCTTCTTGTCCAAACATGGGCTTGCACGCCTCAACGCCGCGCGCTAAAAGCTTGCCGCGAATACAAGGGTGGAGGGGTGTCGTTTTCAAACTGGAGCCCTCGCCTGAGCGCCGCCCAGATTCGTCCGAAACAGTTGCATCAATTGCACAGATTAATGGCGACTCCTTTTCAAGATGAGGCTCTCGCTTGAGACCTCATTGATCATCAAAACCAGAAGCTTGGAGATCTGTATCAGCTGTACGAGTAGATGGCAGGTTCCTTTTCAACGTGTAGTTCTCTCGGGGACTCCATCGGACACCATGGCCATACGCGACACTTCGTGGAACATTTACACACGTGATCCCCCCAAACAACAAAAAACGGAAATCGCGCTGCACGCGCCGTTGAACTGTGTGGTCATACCGTTTCGCATATCTTTTCGCTCGCTAGAATGATGCAAACCAGTTCCTTACCAAAATGAGCCCTCGCCTGAATTGCAGGCCCATAGGGTGTTGGTCTTTCAAGGGGGCGCTTCTTCGGTAGTGAAGCCGAAGGCTTGTATGGCCTTCTGGTCTTCCTCCCGCTCCACCTCCTCATGCTCTCCGTCCCCCCTTCCTCCTCTCGCCCCCTCCCCCTCCCCCTCCTCCTCCTTATCCTTATCCTTATCCTTATCCTCCTCCTCCTCCTCCTCCTCCTCCTCCTCCTCCTCCTCCCCTCGCCTCTCGCCTCCCGTTGCTCCCCGTCCCTCCTCCTGCTCCCCCACCGCCTCCTCCTCCTCCCTCCCTCCTCTTCCTCCTCCTCCTCCGACCTCCGCCCTGCTGCTGCTCATCCCCCTTTCCTCCATCCTCCTCCTCCTCTTCCTCCTACTCTCCCTTCTTCGTCCCTTCCCGTTCCTCCTTGTCGGGCTGGGCTGGCGGCGGCTCTGGGGGCGGTACATGGGCAGCAATGGGGGCTGCGGGTAGGTCTTGTAGAAATCAGCGATGGTGTCGGCGACGGTCTTGATGGGGTTGTTGATCTGCCGGCGGCGCGCACGAGGGCGTGGCCCGAGGGGTGTGCCGCAACAAATGGGTCATGGATGGCCCCCAGGAGGCCCCAGAGGCGCCCAAGAGGCCCCCAAGAGACCCAATAGAGCCCCTAACAGCGCTCCCAATACACCCCCCAGAGCGTGAAACCAATGATTTCTCATACATTCGTGAACGTTTTTCGTCGTCGCCGTCGTCGTCGCCCTTCAGGGTCGGCGGTACCGGCCGCACGGCCTTCGCAGGATGGGTTGTGGATGGGCTGAACCATCGGGAGAAACATGAGCGCACGGCTCGATGTGATTCATCAATTTCGGGCCCCTAGGGCCCCTCACGGGCCCCTGTGGCGGTCAAGAACTGACTCAACATCGTGGGCTGGCCTTGGAGAAAACTTCGGGGTCTAGGACTTGTTTCCCCCACGACCCCTTGCCTCCATGGCGAACAGTGTCGCAAAGAACATTGTACAAACTCCTGCCGGTAGGGCACTCGAGACCTTCATGGGGACGAGAGGAGGGGGGAGAAGGAAGGAGGGAGAAGGAGAGTGAAGAGGAGGAGGAGGAGGAGGAGGAGGAGGAGGAGGAGGAGGAGGAGGAGGAGGAGGAGGCAGAAGAGTGATGAGGCGGGACGGATGGAGGAGGGATGGGGAGGGACCCAACGATCCGATGCATTGTTTTTTTCACTACGGGGTTCCCAGAAGTCCCGAACCTTTTCTCAATGCCAGTTTTTCGTTCTGACTGATTTTTTGGCGATCCTGGGGCCAGGCGAGGGCCTCTGGAGGCCCTCGCCTGACGGTGCATAAACCTCCGACGCGATTAGGGGGAAGGTAAGGCGGCGGAGGAGGGGTGAAGAGGAGGGAGGAGGAGAGTGAAGAAGATGAAGGAGGCAGAGGAAGGACGGATGGATTCGGACGTCTGGAATTGATACGGACAAAATGGGTACGATGCCCAACAGCAAATGTTGTCCAAAGCCGACAGCGGCCCCTGTTGGGCAAGCGAGTCTGCGTCTCAAGTGGACAACGACCACAACGACGCCGACATCGAATCTGGCTCCTAAAGAACAAGCGCTGCTGATGGATTTCGCAATCCTTGTTTCCGTGCTCATTTCGGCCACCCCGAACGGAGGAGGTATGAGGGCGGGAAAGGGGCCGCCCTGACCCCGTGGCGCTCCTGGTCCACAGGGCTCGCCCGCAGCGCGGCCGCGCGGGCACGGCCAGGAGTCGCCTGGGGGCGGCGCCGCCGCCGCCGCTGCATCCCCCGTCCCTTCTTTGATCGTGTCCTCCAAGAGGGTTTGAACTGCCACCAAAAGGGCCTCAAGAGACCCCCGAGCGTGCCCCCAGAGAGAGCCCCCAAAGCCTCCAAGGCGGCCCAGGGAAGCTGCCAAGAGGCTCGCAGATCCAAAGGTGCGAGGAAGCATTCATGTTCAACTCCTGGCCCCGCTCAGGTTGCTTCCGAGCTTTGGTTTGACGGCTGCCCCCGCCTCTGTGTTCCATCGCCTGCTCCCACATTTCCCTGGCCCATGCGAACTCACTAGGGCATTGTTTCTGGCTGGTCTGGTGTGGACACGCGATATACCGGGCTTCCGACCGGCGATCTGTGGGCGATTGGGGGCCGATGCATCCGCCTCTGGGCCTGTCCCCCCTCCCCCCGCCGCAACGTTGCTCCTGACTGGTGGGGATGCGAGAAGCGTCAATATTTTTGCTCACGACGCGAGTGGACCAGATGCCGCGCTGCGCCGTCGATGCGCAGGGTGTTAGGAAGCAATTTCTGGGAGGTCTTCGCAAAAACGGTTCGAAGCTAACAGGCCCGATTCAGGGGCCATTCAACCGCCCTTGCCCCTTGATTCAGCCCAAGACTAAGCCAAATTAAGCCAGATTGAGCGGGACGAAACGGAATTCAACTGGATTCTGCCAAATGAGGCCGGACATCGCGAAACTATTGCGACCTCGTGGAAACCGCGATCGGATCCCCAGACTCCGTCTTTCTGCTGCACTCTCGAATCGCATCGATCTGTGATGGTCCCAGGCCGGGCCCCACAATCGGGCGAAACCGCCCGGTGCGACACACACTGCGACGCCTGGATCTCAGGGGCGCCGCGCACCGCAGGTCACTCCGGCGAAGGGCCACTCCCACGTGCAGTCAATAGACGCCTCATAGATGGGGTCGGGGCAGATGGGGTCGGACGCATGCGACGCATCGCCAATGCCTCGCCGATGCATCGGCGATGCATCCTCGCCATCGGCAAGGATACACGTCTGGCTCCACATCGAGCCGCATCGGCGATGCATCGGCGATGCGGAGCGATCCTTTGACCCCATCTACTCGGAGCCCATCTGGGAGGCCTACGGTCGGGAACTTCTGCTCGGCGTGTAGCCCCGGCGGCCCCGGCGACACGCTATGCCCTGCGAGGAGGCTCAGGACAGCTCGAGATGTTGACGACTGGGGGCCGGGGAGTGGATAGCGTGTTGCGCCGAGGCGCGGTGGGCCAGATCTGGCGGAGCGACGGGCTGAGCCAAAATTTCTGACCGCAGATCTTACGTGCAGCCATAGAGGTCGCGCTGCGCCGCGGATGCGCAGGGCGGGCCTGAGTTGCAGGCGCCCTCGGGAGTCTGAACTGGCTGGGTGCCCAGAGGGGGGTTGAGGTCAAATCCCATCAAAATCGGTCCCCGGACCCTCTCTCCCGAGATCCATCTGGGGCAAGTTTTCACCCTGGATCTGTTTTTCACTGGTCCCGGGGTCCGAAAACGGCCCCCAGATGCCAAACAAAAGGAAAAAACCTTCTCCGAACCCAGAACCTCGAACCTGCCCGCCCAATTCCGGCTGGTCGGAACCAGTCAGGCCCCCAGCCAGCTCGAAGGCCCGATGGACCCGAGAGGCCGCCTGGGACCCGGCGAAGCCCAGCTGCGCCGCGAGCGTGGTCGCGCAGGCCACCGCCAGCGCGGCCGCGGTGCCGCGCGCAGCGCGCCTCCTCGCCATGGGGGGCGGAAACGTTGGGCGCCTCGAATACAACTTGTCGAGGACGAAGGATCGAGGTTGTTTGATGTTTGGTTGCGTGATCATCGGCCCCTCACCGAAAAAGCAGGACTGCCCATGTTGGTCATAAGCTCACAACCCTCTGTCGTTATGTAGCTAATCATGGGTCACGTCTACGTCGCAGAGCGGGGGGGGGTGCTGGGCAGGGGCATGCCACCTTTTGACAACATCCTGCCACCGACTTGTGGCTGCCGCGACCGCCGCGGCGGCCCTCCAGAAACAGCCCTCGGAGGCTTGGCTCGGGGTCGGATATCACGCGAGGAGGCGGTGGGAGAGGAGAGGAGGGTCACACAAGGAGGAGGGGGAGAGGAGAGGAGGGGAGAAGCGGGGGGGGATACAGTACAGTAGAACGAGGGGGGAGAAGCGGGGGGGGGGATACGATGCCAAGCCAACGGAATGTATGCGATGGAACAAAAACCAAGTCGTTCCATAGAATGAGACGATGGCCCGGCAGCAGTCAAGGATGGGCCGAACATGCCCCTCCTCCTCCTCCTCCTCCTCCTCCTCCTCCCTCCGCACGGGTCGGACGAAAGCGGGAGGGGAAGGCAAATGGGAGGTTGGCGAATCAGCTCATGCAACTGGCTTTCCCGAGGCGCCCGTGCTTCGAGGAAAGGGGTGCGGCGGGGCCGACCCGCGCCGTCCTCCCCTCTCCCCCCGTCCGTCCGTCCGGGTTTCACGTCCGCCACGAAATCTGTCGGCGGACAGATCTCAAATTAGCGCAACGGGACGGGATCGGTGGGAGGGGTACAATGTCAGATAGTGCGCGAGGGCACCTGCAATAAACATCGGATGACTGGACTTTTTCAACACGGGGTTCCCGAAGTGCCGACCCTCTCCCCGAGACCGATGTTTCATCGTGAGCCGCTTTTTGCTGGTCCTGGAACCCAGCGAAGGGCCCCAGAGGCCGAACATGTAGAACAAACGCCGTCTTGTTTTCTCAATCTGTCGCCGTGCCTGCGAAGTGCGAGCTGGAGTGTAAAGTCCCCTGTTCAGTCCCCTGAGCCTCAGTCCTCAATCTTGGAGGTCTTTCGAAAGGCCTGGACCCCGAATTCACAAATCTCCGAGGGCTTCCATAGCGCCCGGGTCGTCTTCTCACAAGACTTTTGTGGGCCCAAGGGCCCTAGAGGGCACAAAGACGGGGGAAACAATTTCTGACCTACAACCAGGCGCGGCGGCGGGATGGGCCGACCACCCCTGTAGAGGCCTTTTCGATGGGGTCCGAGTAGATGGAATCGGAGGATCGCGCCGCATCGTCGATGCATCGCCGATTCATCGGCGACGTCGGCGGAGCATCGGCGGCGCCATCGGCGTGGAGAAAATCCGGCTCCACATCGAGTCGCATCGGCGTTGCGGTGCGATCCTCCGACCCCATCTGCGCGGACCACGTCTGGGAGGCCCAGGTCCCTCTCTCCCCCCCTGCCCCCCCCTCTCCCCAGACGCGCGGCCGAGCAATCGGAGAGCATGCGTCGCTGCGATCGCTCAAAGGAGAAGGGAGGATGCGGAGGAGGAGGATGAGGCGGAGGAGGAAGAGGCGGCGGCGGAGGCGGAGGCGGAGGCGGCGGAGGAGGAGGAAGCGGAGGAGGAGGGAGGCGGCGGAGGAGGAGGAGGCGGCGGAGGAGAAGGAGGAGGAGGAGGAGGAGGAGGAGCAGGAAGAGGAGGAAGAGCAGGAGGAGCAGGAGAAGGAGGATGATGAGGAGGAGCAAGAGGAGGAGGAGGAGGAGGAGGAGGAGGAGGAGGAGGAGGAGGAGGAGGAGGAGGAGGAGGAGGAGGAGGAGGAGGAGGAGGAGGCGGCGGAGGAGGAGGAGGCGGAGGAGCAGGAGAAGGAGGAGAAGCAGGAGGAGGAGGAGAAGGAGGAGGAGGAGGAAGAGAAGGCGGCGGCGGCGGAGGAGGAGGAGGAGGAAGAGGAGGCGGCGGCGGAGTATGAGGAGGAGGAGCAGAGGAGGAGAGAGGAGAGGAGGAGGAGGAGGAGGAGGAGGAGGAGGAGGAGGAGGAGGAGGAGGAGGAGGAGGAGGAGGAGGAGGAGGAGGAGGCGGAGGAGGAGGAGGAGGCGGCGGAGGAGGAGGAGGAGGAGGAGGAGCGGCGGCGGAGGAGGAGGAGGAGGAGGAGGAGGAGGAGGAGGAGCAGGAGGAGCAGGACGAGCAGGAGGGAGGGGGAGGAGCGCGAGGAGGGAGGAGGAGCACCCCTCCCCGCCGAAGGGGGCCCGCGCCTCGGCCCCTGCCTGCCCGCGGCGAGCAACGCGGTCATCGCGGTTGGTCGCGGGCCGCGGGCGGCGCACCGGTTGGCGCAGGAGGGGGGAAAGGCACCCTGCTGAGCCGCGGCAAAACGGAGCCAGGAGGGAGCCTCCTCCTCCTCCTCCTCCTCCCTTCCTTCCTTCCTGCCTTCCTTCCTGCCTTCCTCCCTCCCCTCCTCCCTCCCTCCCTCCTCCCTCCCTCCTCCCTCCCTCCCCCTCCCTTCCTCCCTCCTCCTTCCTCCCTCTCCCTCCTCCGCCCTCCTCCTCTCCCTTGTCCTCCCCTCCTCCCTCCTCCTTCCTCCCTCCTCCCTCCCCCTCCTCCCTCCTCCTTCCTCTCTCTCCCTCCTCCCTCCTCCTCCCTCCTCCGCCTCCTCCTCCGCCTCCTCCTCCTCCTCCTCCTCCTCCTCCTCCTCCTCGGGAACGGGGGATTGTGGTGAACCTCGCCTTGCGAGTGGTGTTTTCGTATGGATTTCTTTAGGGGTAACGCATCATTGCTCCTCTGTCTTCTCCTCTTCTTTCTCCTCCTTCTCCTCCTCCTCTTCCTTCCTTCCTGCCTTCCTTCCTGCCTTTCCTTCCTCCCTCCCCTCCTCCTCCCTCCTCCTCCCTCTCCTCCTCCCTCCTCCCTCCTCCCTCTCCCTCATCCCCCCCCTCCTCCCTCCTCTCTCTCCCTCTCCCTCCCCTCCTCCTCCTCGCCTCCTCCTCTCCTCCTCCTCCTCGAGAACGGGGCATTGTGGCGGACCTCGCCTTTCGAGTGTGTTTTCGTATGGTTTTCCTTAGGGGTTGCGCATCATTGCTCCTCTGTCTTCTCTCCTCCTCCTCCTTCTCCTCCTCCTCCTCCTCTTCCTCCTCCTCCTTCTCCTCCTCCTCCTCCTCCTCCTCCCCACCTTCCGTATTGTTTTTGTTGCTCTCCTCCCCCCAAGAAACAAACACGCGAAGCCGTTTTTTTTTTTTTATTATTTTTTTTCTGGGGGGCGACGGCGAAAACAAAAAAAAACCGACGTGGCCTCATATGTCCTCACCTCTGGAAGGATTACGATTGAAAGCCCCCGCAATAAGGGTTCATAGCGAAATCCTGCACAGGAGGACTCCTATCGAAACCCTCCACAGAAGGATTGCTATTGAAATCCTCCACATGTAGGTTCCTATGGGATCACCTGCAGAAGGACTGCTAAAGAAGGAATCCCCCCGTTGGCATTGCATTGGCATTGGTTCGGCAATGGTTTGGCATTGCGCTGGAATTGTGCTTTGCAGTGCGTGGGCATTGCGCTGCGTCGAATCCTCCACAGAAGGACTCCCATGGACCCCCCCCACACGAAGGACTCCGATTGAAACCCTCCGCAAAAATGGTTCATACTGAAATCTTCACAGAAGGATTCCATGCGAAGCCCTTCACTGAAGGATTCCTATTGGAATCTACCACCACGGATTTCCCCTATTGGCATTGCATTGACATTGGGTTGGGAACGCCTTGGCATTGCGCTGGCATTGCGTTTGTACTGCTTTGGCATTGCGCTGGCGAGTCCTAATTACTCCCTTCGCAGAAGGGTTTCTATTGACACCCTCCACAAAAAGATTCCTATTGAAATCTAGCACAACGGATTGCCCCAATTGGCATCGCATTGGTATTGGATTGGGATCGCCATGGCATTGGTTTTGCATTGCGTTGGCACTGCGTTGGCATTGCGCTCGCGAGTCCTAATCGGACGCTCCACAGAGACATTCAGATTACTCGATCCCAGTAAGAAGGATGCCTAATGACCCCCCCACACATACGAACACAAGAAGGACTCACATTGAAATCCTCCACAGAAGGATTGCAATCGAAACCCTTCACATAAGGATTCCCATTGAAATCCTCCGAACATGGGTTCGCAATGGCATCATCCCATAAGGATTCCATTTGAAATACACCAAGCGAGGATGCCCCCGATTGGCATTTGTTTAACATTGTGCTGGCATTGCGTTGCAAGTGCGCTGGCATTGCGCTGGCGAGTCCTAATGCCTCCCTTCGCAGAAGGATTCCTGTTGCAACCCCCAGAAGAAAGATTCCCATTGAAATCCACCAAAAAGGATTGCCCCCAACGACATGGCATTGACATCGTATTCGGGTCGCCTTGGCATTGCTTTGGTATTTCGTTGGCACTGTTTGAGCATTGCGCTGGCATTGCGACGGTGAGTCCCAATGCCTCCCTTCGCAGAAGGATTCCTATTGAAACCCTCCGCAAAAAGGATTACAATTGAAATTCACCACAAAGGATTGCCCCCATTGGCATTGGATTGGGGTCGCCTTGGCATTGGTGTGGCATGGCGTTGGCACTGCTTTAGCATTGCGCTGCCGAGTTCCAATGCCTCCCTTCGCAGAAGAGTTTCTATTGCAACCCCCATGAGGACTCTTATTGACGTCTACCACAAAGGAATACCCCCCAGCCCGCATCCGCCGACGGCATCACGAGCCTCAGACGAAATTGCAATGTCCAGCATTCCTTTCCGCGATTACATCATCTGATCCTCCTCCCCATCGTCGTCCTCCTCCTCCTCCTCCTCCTATCCTCCTTCTCCTCCTTCCTTATGCACACGGGGCCTCAAGTGAAGGGGAGAGGATCGAGGATAGAGAAAGAGAACGAGGAAGAGAGAGAGAGAGAGAGAGAGAGAAAGAGAGAGAGGGACATATGAGAGCAGAACTAAAGAATGAACGAGGAACGAGA